TATCTTAACTTTAAATTGTATAACAAAGTGATATAATTATTTGATCTAATTATATGGATTTGACTATACCAATTTATGATAAAAAAATATTTATGCGAATGCCGTTTTTTGTTCAATATTTGAATATAATATTCCAGAAGAATATTATATTATTTAGAAACAATCAAAATCAATATTTCAGAAGAATATTTTAGCATTGCTTGAAAAGGAATATAATATTTATAGTATTGTGTTGCTCCACAATAAGCATGAATTCACACATATAATATTTAAAATATTATTGTATTAATCTTGAAAATGTATTTATAATTCTATTAATATTCCTGAAAATATTATGTAGATTTTGAAAAAAAAAATTATATTATTCTAATATTCGGTGAAATACTTGTCCCAAAAGGACATGCTATTATAATTTCAATATTATTGAAGAATATTGATTCATTACTCTTGAAAAAGAAATAATTATTTTATTGTACGCATAATGATTATATTTTTATTCTGTATAAATATTTATTTATATTAATCAATTATGAACTAAAGTCAATTCATGTTTAACAGGTAAAGGTAAATTTTACGTTAATAAATCTACATTTTCAATTGAATTCACATTAATAAATTTAAGTCAATATTTTACATGTGTTTCATCTTTTTGCCTAGTTTATCAATTTAGTGTTCATATATCCGTCTATTACAAAATATTGTTACTCCTAAAGTAGCACATTATTATTGATTTTCTAATTAGAATTTACTTATTCCCAGATAGCAAAATTTAGTAAAATCTAACATAAGTTAAATTTTTGCTCATGAAGAGTAAATTTTTACATAATTTATATTTTGAATAATAATATATTATTATTCCTGAAGAGCATAACATTAAAATTTTAATAGTTTAAAATAATATTGATATATTGCTCTTAAATAAGCAATAGCAAATACAACATGCTCTTGAAGTAGCACTTGTTTTGAAAAATATATTATTTTGAATTAGTATTTTATCCTTGAAGGAAAATATACACGTAATCAAGTTTGACAACTTTTTTTACATCATGTGAGTTGACAAATTTTTATACATTGATTTTAACAATCTTCTTTCAATCCATGGCTAGCATTTTCACATATAATTGGATTGCCAAAAAAGCTGTCAACCGACTATGTACAAGAGGCATAATTGATTATTATATCATGATTAATCATATTTTTGAGAATTAACTTTGTCTTTTATTTAATTGAATAGTTATTCAAATAGTAAACATTATATTGAATTAAAAGTTCAATTACT